ACACCACTGAAAAGAAAATTGAAGTGTCTTCCTGTGGCACATAAGACTGTGCCATCTAGGCGACACTGTAGAGGTGGGTGCCACTCCCCAGCCACTCTGGCCTCGGTTCACATCCTGAAGCGACCCACGGCCCTCCTGTCCCACAGGCACAGTACATGCTGCTTCTAGTGTTGAAGTGATGCATCGCCCCTGTACAGCTGACTCCTTTCAGTGACACATTCCATGTCACTTCTTCAGGGTGGCCTTCTCTGACTAAGCTAAATCTAAATAGGACTGTGACCCATTTGATTACAGTCCTCCCTCGGTACCCATGGGCGATTGGTTCTAGGACCCCCGTGGATACCCAAATCCACAGATGCTCAAGTCCTTTATACAAAGTGACATAGTATGTGCATATAACCTGCATACATCCCCCTGTATATTTTAAGTCAAATCTAGATTACTTACAATTCCTAACCAATGTAAATGCTATGTAAATAGTTGTTATACTCTATTGTTTAGAGAATAATGACAAGAAAACTAAGTCTGTATGGTTCTGCGCAGGCACAACCATCCTTTTTGTTTTCCAAATACTTTTGATCTGAGATTGGTCAGATCCACAGATGCGGAACCCAGAGATATGGAGGCCGACTATATTTTCTTTCATAGCCCATCTCTTGTTCACCTCTTTTATGGCACTTATCACATGTTTAGTGGCTTTACTTGTCTGCTCACTTCTTGTTGTTTTGGTCTGTTCCTCACTATAACTGGTAGATAAACAAGCCCATCATAGCATTGAGAAATTAATCTGTCATAATCACAAAATTATTTTTTTCTAATCAATGTCATGAGCAGAAAGTCAAAACAAAGTACCTGTTGCTTTATGACTAGCAAGTGAATCATCCATTTATGGAATGGCAGACTTACAGAATATAATTAGTGAGGTCATGGATTAGGACATAATTAACTTCATAGAGCTGATGTGCACAGTAACACTTAGGCATTTTACGGTGAGCAGATATAGAGAATGGCATAATTAACTTAAACAGTACCACCACCACCCTTGGCTAATGCTCTTTTTGTGCCTTTGTGAGGACTGACTGTAAACTTCCCCAGCGTCATCTCCTTTATCTTGATAACACAGGGAAGTACTGGTACAGTGCTTTGCATTCTGAGGGCATCTAGGTCAACCATTGTGAATTGTGAGCTTGATTTCAACCATACTTCTTGAACAAGAGTGAACCAAAGTATTTGGAGGTTATAATATTCAATCCCCCCAAGTCTATGCTCTATGAGAGCAGGGAATGTGAATATCTAGCTTACTACTGGACCCTAGCACTATCCGATGTATTAGGGGCCCTCAGCGTGTGCCTGTTGGCTATGCAAATCATTTAGGAAGCTGTAGGAAGAGGGCTGAGGAAGGGCAACGCAAGATGTGAAACACGTGGCTCAGAATGAGGGCGGTCTTGGAGTCTTGGGGAAAGAGTTTTGGCCAAAAAAAGCAGAGAGAACAGGACTTTTTATCTCATCCCAAAGACAGCAAGTTATTGGTCTTTGTGAAACTAGTTTAGTCAAACTATGCCAACTACTCTAGGCTAAGAATGTGCATGATTTAGGAGGAATATTATTTGAATTGAGTTGTCAAAGGTATTCTTGGTTTTGAACAATCTTCCCACATCGATGGGGTCTTGAGAATAATGCACACTCTAATCTTACTATGAGGCTGAAATTAATATCCATTAAATAAAAACTGAAAGTTCAAATGTCTCTGTACTAATTCTGTGATCAGAGGTTAGTGCATTCTAAAATTCAAACTTAACTCAGTGAGAGCCAGTTTGTACCAGCAAGGCTCTCCCACAAGTGGGGATGAGAACGGTGTTATCAGAGGGGTTGTAGGCCAGGGAAACCCATCGAAAAGTTCATGGCCATGGTGAGAAAGAGTTTCAGAAACAGATGCTATCAATGAAGACATGGACGTGTATTTTGTACAGATTCTCTGAACACTAGAAGGGGATATCCAGAGATAAGATCATACACCTGATAGCTCTCCTCAACTAAGGAGTTTCCTGTTCAACCACTCTGAGGATGGATCTTGGAGAATCTCTGGTAAAATGAGATACTATCCAAACATGAGACAGATCAGTTCAGGGAAGGATCTGAGCAGTAGAATCTAAGGCACCATAATGAAAAAGAGCAGTCTTCTAAGGGCCTTTCAAATGGATCAGCACCAGGATTAGGGTCCAGAAAGTCCCTTTTGGTAAAAAAAAAAAAAAAAAAAGGAATATGAGACAGCCAGGAGGGAAGATAAGTTGGAGGTGGGACCAGATGAGGGAGACAGGCCAACAGGCCACAAACCAGCAAGACACTGGAACCGAGTAGGGGTAAGAAGGGAAGGGAGGGAGGAGGAAATGTCCAGGGGATTGTGACAAAGAGGGCCAGGCACAGGTTCCCGGCCCTCAGAAAGGCAGAGGTGAGGAAGGATGAGACCTCCCCTGGCCAGCCCTTACCTTCAGGCTCTTCCCACCCTGGTTTAAATATATCCGGACAAAGCAAAGAGAAAGCTGGGAAAGAGACTTTCCCGACTCTTATCCTTGCAGGCACTCCTTCAACCTGTACAGCAGTACTGACGATATGGAAATCAGACTCTGTGGAGAATTAACTGGAGAAATTATAGAGAAGTAGAAGATTCCATGATGCTGCTGCTACATAACTGTGGCTGCTTTATTTAATTACTGGACAATTACAGAGATTTTGTCAAAGCTCCCCGATATAACCACTATGGAAAATAAACCCAGCAAGCAACTTGCTTTGAGAGTAATTTGGGTTGACTAAAAGGAAAGAGGTTCCTTTAAAAACTAAAATACTACATGAGAACAAGTAAAGAACTGAATAAACTTATAGGTGACAGAGAAGAAATCACAGCAGAGAGCAGGAAGAAATGGTCAGCAGAGAGCAGGTAACTGTAGAAAGGATATTTGCAAAGAGAAGAAAAAGTACTTTCCCATGAACCCCAAGACTAGAATCCTAACGCCAGTTCCTCCACTGTCTAAATGCAATATTTTAGAGAATTTACTAAATTGTCTGAGATATTTGTCCTCATGGTTAAATTTAGTCCTATATTGTCATTTTTTCCATAGCCTATTCTTCTTGCAAGACAATGAGGAAGCAGGAACAAATAAGATCCGGCAAAGGTCCTCAGAAGGATTGCTTTTAACTAGAGAAAATAGGTATGTTTTAAAAAATCATGCTACTTTCTGAAATACAGAATTAGAGAAGATATAGATATGATCAGGATGCTTCTGGGGCCCAAGAAAAGAATACGTGGAGAAAAGAGAACTTAAAGTCTTTGAAAGCCCAACTCAGGGAAAGGGATGAAAACCAGAAAGCCTTTGATGAGGCGCTGGGGGAACCAGAGTGGACTCTTGCCCGGGCACTGGCGGAGCAGATACTGTTGAGAACAAATCCTCCCACACTGCCCTGCGTCGGAGCAGATACTGTTGAGAACAAATCCTCCCACACTGCCCTGTGTCAGCCAAGCCCGCCTCACCACAGCCCGGCCGTGAAGCACAAGGCCCAGGCCAGGAGAAAACAGGCTGCACGTTAAAGGCTGTCAGGATGTCACTGATCTGTATCAATAGGAGTCAAGGAGTCATGTATGGGAGTCGAGTCTAAGGGTGTTAAGCGAGGCCAACAGGGACAAAAATATAACATTAAATCAGACAGAATCACTGACACGACTGCAGGAAAAATAATATATATGTACAAATACAAAGAAAATATGATCCTTAAAAAAGTGAGTATAGCAATGCTTAATAAATGACAAAACAGAATTTAAGGCAAAAAAGATTTAATAGAGTTAAGGAATGAAATTACTTAAATGGAAAAAAATCTGCAAAGAAAACATAATAACTGGTCTTGTATAAATCTGACAATGTAGCCTCTAAATAAATAAAGTAGAAAGTCATATAATTACAAAGACTAATTCACTAATTCAAAGTCATATAGGGGACTTTAATGTATATTTCTCTAAAAAGACCTTGCTCAATCAAACCAAAAATAAATCATTTGAATGATGTAAGGGTAAGCCAATAAATATATAGAGACTGTTAGAGTCACAATAAACTTATACAAACTTATACAAAAAAAATTCAAATTTAACTATATGTTAGGCTGCAAGGAAGTCCTAGAAATTTTCAAATAATTGACATTTTAGAAAAAATTCTCCATACACAAAGCAAATCAGAAATCAGTATCAAAAAGATTAAAAGCCATACAATTGGACACTATAATCACACCTTAAAATAATCAATAGACAAAAAAATATCAGAGTCCATATTTTTAAATATTTAGAACCAAATGAAATTGCTACACATAAAAAATTCTGTGATAGCTTTCTGGAGCCAGACTACACAATAGAAGCAAACATTCTCTCTTTTTCTCTGTTTATTCTTGGGGCAGGTGTTCAGCCATTTTCTACTGCTGCCTGTGCATTAAGTAGGGAGAGGATGGTTGGCCTGTGACAAAACTGTGGAAAGTTAAAACAAGAACTGGAGAATAACTTTCAGGCATGCAGAAATGGAAACTATTTGGATTAAAGCTATAGAAATTTTCCTGTGAAGACAAATAAACAGCGTGGCTAGCAATCTAATCTTGTTCAAGGACTTTTTCAAGAGATGAGTTCTTTTAATTGAGAAAATATGGACTCCAAAAATATTTGGAAGATTATATGTGTATTGTACACATATTATTTATATATGTATCATATATTATATACAAACGTGCGTACATGTATGACATAGATAACATTGCAGATCCATGGGGAAGTATGGTGCTAGAATTGGTTAAAATATTTTTAAAATATCAGATCTTACTTCACATCTCTCTCTCTTTCTCACACACACGCACACACACACACCCACACACACACAGCACACACAGCACACTTCAGAGCCCTCAGGCATCTAACCCAAGCAAGCCCAAGACTTCTTTGGAGGAATGCAACCTCACTCCAGGTCATATAGACTTCCCACATCGGGAACTACAAAGTTGATGCCTGGTACTTCTCACTGTTCCCTGAAGACTACGGGAAACAGCCCAAGCTCTGGCTGTGCGAGTACTGCCTCCAGTACATGAAATACGAGAAGAGCTACCGCTTCCACTTGGGCCAGTGTCAGTGGTGGCAGCCCCCTGGGATTTACCGCAAGAGCAACATCTCTGTGTAAGAAGGACGGCAAGACCACAAGATTTACTGTCAGAACCTGTGTCTGCTGGCCAAGCTCTTCCTGGACCACAAGACGTTGTACTTTGACGTGGAGCCCTTGGTCTTTTACATTTTGACTGAGGTGGACAGGCAAGGGGCCCACATTGTCGGCTACTTTTCTAAGGAGAAGGAGTCTCCAGATGGAAACAACGTGGCCTGCATCCTCACCCTGCCCCCACCAGCACCGTGCTACAGAAAGTTCCTTGTTGCTCCCAGTGACGAGCTCTCCAAGCTAGAGAGCACAGTAGGCTCCCCAGAGAAGCCGCTGTCTGGCCTGGGCAGACTCAGCTACTGCAGCTATTGGTCGTGGGTCCTGCTGGAGATCCCGCAGGACTTCTGGGGCACGCTGCCCATCAAGGACCTTAGCCAGATGGCCAGTATCACCCAGAATGACATCACCAGTACCCTGCAGTCCCTCAACATGGTCAAGTACTGGAAAGGCCAGCATGTGATCTGTGTCACACCCACACTGGTAGAGGAACACCTTAAAAGTTGCCCACCCATCACAGTGGACTCTGTCTGCCTCAAGTGGGCACCCCCAAAACACAAGCAAATCAAACCCTCCAAGAAGTGAGCAGCCTGTGCCCCTGCCACCAGACCCATGCCTCTTACCCCCAGCCTGTAAACATGCACAGACCTGTTTTCTCATTTTTTGAATAAAGTAAATTCTGGTGTCCCATGTCCTCACACAGTCTTCCCTCTGTGCATGTCTGTGCCCTGATCGCTTCTGGGTATAAAGACACCAGTCATGTTGGATTAGGGCCCACCCACCAATAATGGCTTTATTGACCCTAGATTACCTCCTCATAGGCCCTATCTCCAAACACAGTCCCACTCTGAGGTACTTCAACATACAAATTTCCGGGGGTACAATTCAGCCTATAACATATGAATTAAAGATTTAAAAATTAAAAACACACACTAAAACTTTTAGAAGAAATTGTAAGAGAAAACGTTACAGTCTTGTTATAGGAAAAGACTTCTTAGCAAAATTCTTAACCAAAGCACAGTCATAAACTAAAAGCTAGGTAAAATCGACTATTAAAAAATGTGTTAAAGCTTACTATTCATTAAAGACACTATGCTTGAAAAAAATGGAAAGACAAGCCACAAAAACTAGAAGTTATCTGAAAAATTTATATTCTACAAAGACTTAACATTCAAAATCAACTCAAAAGGAAATCAAAAAATAAACTAAAGCAAAAACATTATTAAAATGGGCAAAAGATGAATACTCATTTTGCAGAAGAGGAAGTAAAAATGGCCAATAAACACATGAGAAGACACTTCCTTAATTACAAGGAAACACAATTTAAAAGCTAAAACAAGAGAAAATTTTATACACATATGATTGGTACTGTGGTGGACATTTAATTATTCTCAACTATTTCAGAAAGCAATTTCCAGTGAAATTGACAATGTGTAAGTCCTAAGACCTAGCGATTTTACCTCAAGTTATATATCCTATAGAAACTCTTACACATGCATACTGTGAAACGTACACATGAATGTTTATATTAGCATTATTTATAATAGCCCCAAACTAAAAGAAGCTGTCTACCACAGAGAGAATGTATAAGTGATTTTAGTGCCTTCATAAGTAGATTACTATAGAAGAATATAAGAACTTAAGGTTGAACAACAAAAAATAGTCTCAGAAGAATACATATGACACCAAAATAATCTAAGAAAATTACATACATATGACATCATTTATATAAGGTACCCAAATTGTGCAAATGCAAATAATATCTTAGTGATATATATAGATAATAAAACAAAGTACAGCAAAGGGATAATAATCACAAAAGTTAAGTATTCCAGTTACCACTGGAATGGGAGACAGGGAGAAATGTAAAGGTGGACATTGATAATATTCTATTACTACTCTAATTGTTACACTAGGTGGCTGGCGATGTGTAGTCATTATATTATTCTTCATACTTTATGTATGTGTACACAAATGTCATAATTTTTTTTTTTTTTTGAGACAGAGTCTCGCTCTGTCACCAGGGCTGGAGTGCAGTGGCATCATAATAGCTTTCTGCACCTCAAATTCCTAAGCTAAAGTGATCCTCCCACCTCAGCCTCCCAAAGTGCTAAGATAATAGGCATGAGCTAATGTACCTGTGTCATAATTTTTATGATATGCTGAGAAGAGATGCGATGCTTGGATTGATGGTTTGGTGGAGTGAACTGTGTGCTGACTTAGGTAGGATGATAAATATCATGACAGGAATTCTTTAAAATAAAATTTTAAAGTAGAAAAAAATATTCTGGGTTGCTGTTAAAATGGCAATTGGAGGATATTTGTAAACTTAAATCTACTAATTAAGAAACATTAAAAATAAAGAAAATGAAGAGGCTAATAATTCTATACAAGTGTGGGAAAAAGAAAAACACAGTAAACACTATGTAGACAGTAGAAAGAAAGAATAAAGGTATAAGCAGAAATAAAGTCACTCTAAAGTAATACTATAAGAGTGATAATCAAATTATTAAAAGCAATAGTTTGAAAAGATTAATGAAACTCAGAAATCTTTAGGGAGACTTATCATGAAAGAAGCAATATAAAACAAGCAATATTAGGAATAAAATGCAAAATGATTACAGCTATAGCATAGATTAAAAATTATCTTAAAAAATGTCATACCAGAAGAAATAAAAATCAAGATGACAAGGGTGATTTTCTAGGAAAAAATATAAATTATTCAAATTGACTTAGGTAGATAAAGAAAACTCAAATTACCCAAACCATTCAATAAGTAAATATTAAAAAACTTAAAAAAAACCCAACTCATTCCCCCAGCTTCTGAGGGCCCCTCAGTCCTCTGTAGGGACTGCCTTCCTGGAGAGACTAAGTACAGGCCCCCAAAGCTATGCCTCCTCCAAGGTAAACTCCACTGATCCATGGGGGCCTATTCCTTCATCCCAAGCTGAGACATCAGAAAGGCCGAGCAAGATTCAGAGCTCCCTGTCAGGTCGGCAAGGGCTCCACTGAGGCCGCATCGCTGCCCCACTACACCCTTTCCCCAACCTGCTCTCTCCCTCCTTTCCACAGGTATTGACCCTGAGAGGTCCTCAGAAATGTCCTGTACACTCATGTCTGTTTCAGAGGCTGCAAGGCTCCAGGCCCAAGCAAAGCTACAGGAGATTTCTACAAAAATAGATCATCTCTCGCTTAAACAAATTGTCCCAGATAATACAATAAGGCAGAAATCTTCCACGCTCATTTTATGAGGCAAACCAACTAAACAAGGGGAATATAAGAAAAAAAGAAAATCACAGCAAATATCACTAATAAATGGAGATGCAAAATTTCTAAGTACATATAGCAAATCCAATCCAACAGTATAATAAAAAGCCAAAACATAATGATTAGGTAGGGTTTATCAGAGCAATGCAACTCTTCATTTTCAACATGGAAAACTATATAATTTCCCACATTAAGAAATCAAAAGAAAAATGCTGTATAATCATCTCAATAGATGCAGAAAAGCACTCAACACACAATCATTATAAAATCAGAAATAACACTTTCAGAAACTAGAAATAGAGTAGAAATTCTTTTACATGATCAAGTCTCTACCAGCATAGAAAGTTTTTTAACCAGTAAGAAAATTGTGTAATTTCTAAAACCAAGAAATTGGATGACAGTGATTCTAGGATCAGTTATTACAGTGGTTCATAAATCATTAAGGACCCAAATACCTTCTATCTTTTCTCTCTCCTACCCCTAGATAGTTGACTTATTCTATGGCTGGTCCCCTCATAGTGGCATGGTGGTTTCAATGGTTCCAGGTGTCTAATACAGACTCAGTGACATCCAGCTCCACTGTCTGTTCTTGTATCTTTTTAGAGTGAGAGAATGCTCCTACAGCCCTCAGGAGGCTTCCTGGTATGTCTCAAGGTTCACTGCAGGGTCACAGGACTACTCTAAACCCATCAATGACCAACACAATAGGATTACATGATTGGCTTAAAGAATTTAGCTCTGCAGAGCAGTTAGGGTTATATTTTCTAAGGTGTACATTCCACAACAAAACTTGAGTTTTACAAACCAGGAAGAGTGGAAGCATGGATATTAGGGAATGTTAGGCAAAGAGATCCTGAACACACACCACTAGTGACATGAGATACAGATAGGCAATGTGTTATGGGGACAAACTCACCTTCAGGGAAGTGGCAGAATTCACACAGTCCCCTAAGCTCTTAGCGTCCCACTGCTTAAGCCAACTCCCAATTAGAGGCACACTCAGCCACTATTATGATATCAGGACAGTGGGAGTGGCAGTGGTCACTTCCTTGTCTAATCTTCTATAGTCTTTGGTAAAACTCCAAGAAATGGTTTCCATTGGCCAGAAAGGGCTGCTGAACTTGTAGACAGTGTTGGATAGCATCCCTGCCTGTGTTAAATCTTACGTGAAAAAACTAAGTACACTTTCTTCTCCTGGTCTGAGTTGCTGTTTCAATTGTGTGATCTTGGCAAGATTTATAGGTCATGGCTGGCCGTATATGTGGCTGACTTTGTAGGTTCAAAAACCAGGGGTCACAGTGCATGTAACCACTCATAAGTCTGCACTCCGGTACTGAGAACAACCATAGCAATTATATGGGTTGAGAAAAAAATAGCCAGGAATGTACACACACACACACACACACACACACACACACACACACACACACATATCAAAACAGCAGCCATATATGTTGCTGGCAGAGGGTACAGATCCTGCCCCATTCCTTGTCCCAGTCATTCCAACTGCTATACAGGGCCTTACACACATGGCTAGTGGCCCAATGTAGATAAAATAGAGGCTGTAGGATGCACTCACACCTCCCCAGCTCTTATCTTCTCACAGAGTAGGCTGGTGCTATGGTTTGGATAGGGCTTGTTTGGGCCTACCAGGTCTCATGTTGAAATTTGATCCCAATGTTAGGAGTGGCACCAACAGTGTTGGAGGTGGCACCTCCAGTGTTGGAGGTAGAGGGTGTTTTGTCACGGAAGCGGATTCTTCATGAATGGCTTGGTGCCATTCTCTAGGGAGTGAGTTCTCACTTAGTTCCCATGAGAACTGGTTGTTGAAAAGAGCCTGGCACCTCCTCCTCCTCTCCCTCTTGCTTTCTATCTAACCATGTGATCTGCACACACCAGCTTCCCTTTGCCTTTCGCCATAGGTGAAGCAGCCTGAGGCCCTCACCAAAAGCAAATGCTGATGCCATGCTTCTTGTACACCTGCAGAACTATGAGCCAAATAAACCTCTTTTCTTTATAAATTACCTAGCTTCAAGTGGTCCTTTATAGCAATACAAATGGACTAAGACAGCCAGACATAGACTCTATGTACCAGGGCAATGCTCCTGTGGCTGAGCCCTACTCCCATAATACTCTACATATTTTTAGGGTCAGAGAGGCAAAGCACTTCTATGTGGCTTTGCCAAAGGGGAAGCTCCCTACTCCAGGAAGCAACCTTGTTAGAAAGGGGGAACCTCAGGAGTCCACTAGGTCTTAGTCTGTTCAGGTGTGCTACCAAAGATTTGCTAAGCCAGCTCTGTGCTCAGCTACCAGGAAGGGGAGGAGATGAGCCTCTAGGACATCAGACTTCCCTCTCACCATGTAGGCAATCAATATTACCTACCAAGTCCTCTATCTAATATCTTACTCAATGGTGAA